CGTGATTTGTCGAAAAAAAATTTTCACACGAAATTTTGGATATTATAAATTTGTGCCTCGAGATGAAAAATTGTTTGTTTTCATTTACGAAAAATTACGAGAATTGAATGTTTGAAATTATAATTTGATTATATTTATCATGGTAAAATATTTATTTTGAATTTCAAAATAAAATTGAATATTATGATACTATAATTCTTTTTTCTTTTCTTTATATCGTTAATATAGACACGTGTTCGAAACGAAACACTTTTTCCACAGGTATTGTACCAACAATTTTTCTATAATATAATTCCTCTAAAGTCACGCAATTCTTCTTCGATTCGAAGCGTTCGATTTTAATCGATTTATCGTACAAATGTTATCATTTTCAGCAACTACGCGAGGTGATACCGCACGTAAAGATGGAGAGGAAACTCAGCAAAATAGAGACGCTCACGTTGGCCAAGAATTACATAATGGCCCTGACAAACGTCATATGCGAAATGCGTGGGGAGGAGCAACCGTACACGTAAGTAAATCTTACATCGATCTCCATCTCTCAGAAGATTTCCTTTTTTCTAAAATCAAAACAAAAGAGAGAGAAAAAAATTAGAACGAAGAAGAAGAAGAAGAGAAAGAATTATAATTTTTACAGAGAAACAATTATAATTTTTTCTCTTATTACTTAAAGGAAGATTATAAGGAATGATGGATATTTCTTGGAGAGGAGGGAAATAGATTAGATAGAATCGTAATGAAAGGCGTCGTGCGTTTAATTGACGGATTTCATTCGATATCCCCTTTCGTATAAATCGACTTTTCGCAACACCCGTTTCGAATGTCGTGCACGTCGACATAACCGAGTTAGAGTACAATGTCCGATTGGCATTAAACGGTCAAACATAGCCCCTGCTTTTTCCTCATTTTCACCGTTTCATTCAACGCTTCGATGCTTTCTCGCCCGTTACATCGCTCACGAAATATATTTCCAAATATATTTCGCCTCTTTCCTATTAGTTCGTCTTATTCGATCGAAAACAAACGATACAATTTTAATATATATATATATATAAAAGAGAAAATTTTTGAAATTTCTCCTATCTTTGCAAAAAGAGAAATTTATTTTTGGGAGAATTAATTAGAAGAATTAAAATTGTATATATATATAAGTTTCGTGTAATAATAATTTATTAAAATTGGATAGAAAAATAAGGGGACTATTTTTTTATTCAATATATTTTTTTAATTTTTGGTATTTTTACAGTCTCTTATTGCTAATGATTACTAAAGATATTAATAAAAAAGAATCGAGAGAGGAATCGAGAGGAAACAATTATTCAATTATATATACAATTTTAAAATTATAATTAATTCTCCGTTTTTGCAAAAATGCTAAATTTTGGGTTTTCTCGATCTTAAAAAAAGAAGAGCGAAGATATTACAAACGCTTCTCCTCCGTGAACAGGTGCTGCTTCTCTCGACTTTCTTTCACGGATTGTAAAAATTTATTTTTGGAAGAATTAATTAGAAGAATTAAAATTGTATATATATATTTTTTTGGTATTAAAATTATATATATATATAAGTTTCGTGTAATAATAATTTATTAAAATTGCATAGAAAGAAAATTTTTGGCATTTTTACAATTTTTTATTGCGAAAAAGGATTACTAAAGATATTAAAAAAGAATCGAGGAATTCGAGAGGAAACAATTATTCAATTTTTTATATATAATTTAATATTAAAAAATATATATATATTACAATTTTACAATTATAATTAATTCT